GAGCTGTATGTCCTTCGGTATGAACTCCCATTGTTGAGAGTTGTATGTCCTTCAATGGCTAATGATTGATGTGCACATGAGTGAGGTTATTAGTGTATTGATTGGAGATGTGACATGTTGAATTGATTTATGATCATGCTATGACCATACCCTTTATTAAGTTATGTTGTTATTTACGTGCATAGTGGTGAGCACCTCGATTTTTCTATTGTGCTCATCCCCACCTGCTCTTCATGGATGCAGGTTAGTAATGGCGAGCACGACGGAGGGAGGCGAGTGGTGGTCATTTTATTGATTACTTATGTTGTTGAATTGTTTGAACTATTTATGCATTTATGAGCTATGATTGAGTACCGGATTTTGATAGGGAGTGTACTCCCTTGTATTTGTGGTTTGAGAAACCCAATTTTGGGAGTTAATGTTATTTATGAATCCGGTTGGGTGTTGTCATGATTACTGCACCCGTTTGGGAGTTATATTTATGATATTGATGGAAATGTTTGAAAATGAGTAGCGCCGCCATGTGTTTTGAAAATAAATTTTGAAAAATTTATTCTGAATTTCGGTAATTAAAAGTGGGGTGTTACACATTATATCTCTCATACTTTTACATCAAATTAATCTTAGTTATTTTATTTTAAATATTAAAATATTATTATAATATTATTATAATATAAATATAAAATCCCACTAACAACTTATCTTAACCCCTTTTTTAAAATTAATCATACCAAATCAAAACCAAAAAAAAATTATATCCAAGCATCCCCAAACAACTTGATCACACAATATAAAAATCTGATAAACAAGAAACCCATGAACAAATCAGATAGTGAGAAACAAGTAACAGAGGAAACACTTAAAATTCAATATTCTTCTCATAACCACCATGTCTTCTCATATACATGCTCTTTCGCATAGCTGCACCATTGCAGGGTAAAACAAAAAGCTTGAAGCATCTGAAGTTAGCCAAATATCTAAAAAAATATCCCACATTCTCAACCAAGATGCATTTTTTTTTTATTCCAGTGCCAATAAACATTCACAACTACAACAAAAACCAGGAACAAGATAGCAAGAGAATTCATCTTTATGGGCATACAAGGATAAACGCATACAATAACATAATGAACATTGACATCACACATAGACAAGCAAGAAAAAAAAAAGAGAGAGAGAGAACTTCAAGTCAAAGATGGCTACTCGTAATTAAACTCAACAATCATATCTTTCAAGCTCACATGAATCACTAAAAAAATTATGGATAAGAAAAAAAAAAAAAATCCCAAAATTTAAGAACCCTAAATTTGAATTCATTCACAATTAGAACCCTAAAAAATGCTAAATAGAATTAGAATTTACCTGTTCTCCATTGGCGAACATCGCCCTTCTGCTAAATAGAATTAGAATTTACCTGTTCTCCATCGGCGAACATCGCCCTTTTGCCTTTTGTTTTTTAGAATTTGGGGGTGAGCTTGTAATTGTATTCAGAATGTTGGGGTGAACTCGATTTGGTGAAAAATCGTCCATGGAGAAGAGAAGAATCGTTGATTTTTTTTTTTTAATTGGGAGAGAAGAACTCGATTTTACGAATGGAGCAAAAAACATGGTGCTATTATAATATTTGGGGGAATTAGGATATTTATTTTATTGTTGGTTTTATTACTAGATGGAGGATGATGTGAAAACATTGGTCAGCCATGCAAGCCTCATCAGTGCCATGTAAGATTCTAATTGGACAGGTCAGCTCGACTTGGCCAAAAATTGGTTTTGAGACAATTTTGCAACATATAATAAAAGTTTGATATTTATTGTAAAGTTAAAAAGGTTAAGTTTTATTTGGATTTTTTTATAAAAGGTTGAGATTTTATAGGCAATTAAGTCAAGATAAAATGACAATAATTAAAAACGTCTATAAAACATGATATTTTTTACGTTTTGAATTTCTATTTGACTACAAATCCAACTGGATGATGAATTTACCGTATTTGTATTGGTAGTTTGACACGTAAGTGAAACGCAAGAGCATTTTCAATTATCCATGAATTGCTCTCTTCTATTACCACATAATCCTAAAAATCTATTGTGTCATTTAAAATATGTAGAAGTCTTTCTAGATGCAGAAAGACGTCTAGACATATTCCGTTTTATATTATATTATTTATTTTATATTTGTATATCCATCAACCAATTATTATCAAATTCGTGCCAAATTATTTCAAAATTGATATTATTTGAGTCAAAAAAATTTATTTTCTTTCTCCACACCATACATCTCAAAATAGACTTACGGCCATCCAGAAGATCAGCCAGATCGCCATAAATTTTAAGCCGTAAGTTATCTACGCAACCTTTTAAATCCGTTGCGCATAAGTTTACATTTTGCTATTGAATTCGTAATTTGTGCATAACGAGATCTTCATTGATCCCAACAGTAGTAGATATACAAACCATAAGAAATTTCACTAAAGCCAAGCTAAAGCCCATTTGGATCATGATTTTCTCAATGCATACCCACTCAACCCTGTCAAATGCTTTCATAAGATTTAATTCTAAGGCTATAAAGCAGTTTTTCCATATCTATTGTAACACACATAATATTATTTACTATTTATGAAGCTCGACTTTATTTCTATAAAGCTTTCTAATTTGATGCATTTATTATTATTATTTGCATTAAAATTGAGTGTTAGTATTAAAGTCTAAGCTATAGTGAATTTATTCGATTTCAATTATTAAAATTAGATTTATTTAGTCCATGTATCGGTTATATTTTTAATACCGAGCCTTGGAATGATCAGAAATTTTATTAAAAGGGATCGAAGTGTCATCGGAGATGCGCATAAGAGCATCTCCAGTGTTGTATGTTGTTGTGGTGAAAAACATGCCACATGATCAATAATTAAATATCACTCCACATTTTGTCTTCCAATGGTAATATAAATGATAAATGTTGTGCTGAGGTGGCCACAAATAATTTCCACAATGTGATAGGGACTGTGGAATATCTACATCCTTCTCCACAGGATGACTCAGCCAATTTGGGAGAAGAGGCAAATAAAAAATCCTCAAAATTGCCGTAAACCTGGCGGGGAAAATTGGCGGGCACCAAAATTTTACTAATCGTGCATCAATGAAAACATTGCAATTTTCTCTTCTCTTACAACAGAACCAAGAATTCCTTTGCTTAAATACTACAACTGCCGATTCAACAAAAAATAATGGTACGTGAATTATGTTTGGGTTTTTTTTTT